AGACAATAGATAAAAGCATGTGGTTTAAATCTAATAATTGTGATTGATAGTTTGTATTCGTTGTGGGTAGTTTGTACCCGACTCTAGACATCATTTGGAAAGTCATTTTTTCCAAAAAAAAAAAATCACATTTTTCCCGTAAATAAATTTTCTACTCATTTTTCTGCATACATTCAATCACTATAATAATACATTTTTATGTAGAAACTCCAAAATCAGCAATCCACCACGACCTAAACGAGAGGTTTGACAGCATGTTACGTTTACCTTTACTCTTCTGACACGTACAAATTGGCCACCGTAGAATGGTCAAAAGGTTGCTGTCCTATCATAGGCGAAGATGAGTCATTGGTGTGAGTAGTTGACAGTTCCCTCTATTGGCGCTGTCTTAGAGTGTCACAAACAAAACAAATGGACACGTGGGTCGCTGTCCCATCTCGTTTAATTAGTGGTGGGGTTGGGAAGGCCCAGGACCAGGCCCATGGATACACATACAACACGTTCTTCTGTAGTGAAAGAGATAGGGCGGCAACGGAAGGCCAATTTTTATGCTCCTGTCCTGTCCTTGTAATTTGTGGTGGGGAAGGTGTGAAGGCCCATGGATGTACTGCACAATGCGCTCTAGTGTAAAGTGGTTGGGGTCCAAAGTCCAAACCGAGTTTTGAAACTCCTGAGTCATCTTTCGGTTCCTATTGGTCCTACCTACCTTAGAAATATCAGTGGAATCTCCCTTAGGTATGTGACACCACGACGGACGGTTCCTATTGTCATGGGCCAAGAAATTTATTACTCAGTAAGTAATCTGTAGGAGAAAAAGCAGACACATATATATATATATATATGATAGCTTTTAACAAGACTGAGAAAAATTTTGGAGCCATACATTTTTACTGCAAAGTAAACTTTGATGGCTTAAAGTCATCATTGTCTATCCTGAAATCACTCAAGTGGTTGCCTTTACCCGCCAAAAAAAAAAAAAATCAGTCATTTCATTAGTTTTCTTGGCAAGGAAAAGATACCCATAAAACTAAGTAATGATATAGAGCGTGTTTGGACAGCCAATTATTTGGCCAAATATATTTGCTGACATCACCATTACAATTTCCAATACACCTTTTTATCTTCCCAATTACCTTTTTATCTCACATACATCACATCACAAAAAGTGCTACAGTAAAAATATTTCACATAACTTACAATCCAAACACACTCATAGTTTACCGAGAAGGTAAAAAACTTGGATAGGCTTGATCTTGTGGTACAATTTTCTACACCATCAATTCTTCAGTTGGTGAGATGATATGACAAAATTTGAATCACAAGATCTACATAGATCTAATCTATCCAAATATAAGAAATTATACTGGCCTGTCATGTACTCCAAATGATTAATGATCAGACTCTATCTGGGATGAACATAGTTTTATGGCCTTGAAAATTACTATGTGAGTTTAACAAATTAATCTCTTTATTCTTTTTTTTTTTTTTTAATTTTGTTGATGGATTCCAGCTTATACATGCTTGTTTTAATTCCACCATTTTGATATTTACTTTTATTTTTCAATTAAATTTAGACCTTTGTTTTGGTAAAAGCCACTCTCCAGGCAACTGCCCAAGGTGATGTGAACATGGTGAAATGGACGCTATACTAGAAAGCAAATGTAGATGTCCCAACCCCACATTCTCATCTTGATTTTCAATATACTGTACTTATTTTGTTAAGTAATAATTGAGTGAAAGTAATTTATTGTCAGCTAACTTCATATTTCAATTTAGAGATAAGTTCAGATGACGCCACAGAAGGTTTAGAGATAAGTTTTGCTAAAGTAGTAGTGTTTTTGTTCTGGTTGGTTACGTGACGAAGTAGCATCGGGTCAGTTCATTTGACTTTGACAAGAAGGATTAGAGTAGTGGTCGGTTTTTGATAAAAAATGTTTGTAGGATCCATTGAATTTGAAAACATGAATTGGTAGAACAAGGGTGGATTGAATTGGTTTGTTTTGACGTGGTGGTGGACCAAGTATAGAAGGACCAGGGAATGGGGAAAACTAGATTCCTCGAAAGGAACATGTCTAGCTATATACGTTCGGTTATCTTGAATATCAACATAGTAATTAATAACTAAAAAGGAGTGTAGCCCAAAAACATAAGGGGTAGAACGAAGGTTCATTTTATTTTTAGGGAAAAATGCACTTTTCGTCCTCATTATTTGAGGTGTTAGGCAATTTCGTCCCCAAAATTTCAGTCAAAACACATTTTATCATTACAATTTTATAATTTTGACCAATTTCATTTTTAACGTTTCATGTAAACACATTTCATTTTCATAAGTTCGTAAATTTGACTAATTAAGAATAATTGATTGATTGCCAAGCAATTTGAATGGAATATCATCACTTGGCCATAGCATGCATGTTAGTAAAATTCAGAAAATATTGGATCAACCAAAAACCTCAAAAATTATTTTTTAATTCACTTTCTTATTTAAACAAAACTAAGAAATTTTCAACCACCATGATTCTCTTCTTAATCACAAATTGAACAAAAAGATTGAGAGGAAACGAAGTCATGGAGAAGAAATAACTCCATTATAGCCAATTGGATAAATCTTTCAAACAATCCCATTGCAATCAATTGAAGAAAAATATTAACGTGAAAGAAAGAACTGTTTCGATTGCCATTTGTTTCTAAAATTTTTGTTTCGTAGCATTATATACATGTTTTTCAAATTGTCTATGTATCATTTAATTTATTTTTTTATTTCACATATATTATATCACAAATTTAAAAGTAATAATATTTTATCCGAACACACTCATTGTTATTTATATAATTTAATCAATAATCGAATTAAGTATTAATACAATTATCAATGGGAAATGCTAGTTATGTAATGATACTTGGTCCAAATTGGTTAACAATTATTCAATTGTCCTCAATTGGTTAATTTTATGAAACTATGAGGATAAAATATGTTTACATGAAACTTTAGGGATGAAATCGATCAAAATTATAGAACTATAAGGATGAAATGTGTTTTGATTAAAACTTTAGGGACAGGCGTCTTTACTGTACGTGACTGACTTGACTTCAGCTTGTGGGAGCGTATCCAATAATAGTGTATCTTCCATTGATAGTCATCAAATAATTAATTTTTATCTAATAGCCAGCATATACTTGATTATCTCTTTGTGTGTGTGTGTGTGTGTGTGATAATTGTGTGAAAGTAATTCATTGTAGCCAACTTCAAATTTCAACTATGTATTGCTTAATGAGTGATGCATTGAAATTTCAACTTCAAATTGAAATCATGAGTGACGCATTGCTTAATTAATTGAGATCATTTTACACTTTTTAGTAACAAAATTGTTGCATAAACTTTTCAGTGATTGCAGAATTTTAGATCCTTCTTATATTAGAGTAAACATATTTTGGTTCACTCCAAGGGTTTGGAATGATAAAGTTGTTTTAGGATAAAAATTAAGAGCTTTTCTTTATATTTCAATAAATTTTTATTTTACAACTTTTCTACGATGAATAACTCCTTAGAGTTCCACGCAAGCGTACTTTATGATACTTCAATTGTTTGTATAGGCAAAATACGCGATATAGCTTGCGCATTTGGTTCAAATAAACATATGTTTTTTTTTTAATTTTAGAGAAATAGAAGAATAAAAGAGTAGTATGTTGATAAACACAACCTGCATTCGATGTTTATATATACTAGAAAGAGTAAAGTTTTTACTAGCAAGAAGATTAGCTAACATTTATATCCTTAATAATAACAGACAAAGCACTTCCTACTGTTTTTTTTTTCTTTTTCATTTTAACATGAAAAGGACCGAGAAATCTGTACTTAGAATATTGGGTGAACAACTACTGAGATAGAAATAAACCAACAGTCATTTGGGATGTTGGTTACTACCATAATCTTTAACATTTGGTGAGGTAGGAGGTCAAGAGTTCAAATTTTATTTTTCACTACTTGCTACTATATGTGGCTTGCCACTTTAAATTGCTTAAATTCATACAGATGTGTAGTGCATCGGTTTGGTCTGATAGTGGGTCAATCAATTGGGCCCTCCAACTTGAGTAAGGAAATTTAAAACCTTGTTGTCTATTTGTCGGAAAAAGAGATACTTCATAGTTAGAAAAAGGAAAAGAAAAAGAACTAAATTTGGGGGCTATAGATGCTTTTTGGTGCTGGAGGACAACATTGTAGCTAAGCAATTTTGCTAAACTATAGTCAAATATTAATTCCCAGAGTGGGGAGCGCATTATGAGCAAAGTAATGTAATGTCTCATTCAGATGGTGGATGGATTGGCATTGATGAAGAAGGAGGTCCGATGAGGTAAACAGCTCGATTGATGTTACTCCAGCGTGAAGGATCAGGCGAAATGGCCAATGGGTACCTACTGCTTTCATTGTTGTCGAAATTGTGCTTGATGAACTTCGAGCGATTGGTCATGAGATTGTACCAAGTCTTGCTTTTTGTCTCATGGTTGATCTGTAAAATAAGACCTGTGACTAAAGTTTGATTGATGAATTGGGGCCTATTTGCCGAAAAGAATAGGTGTGGTCATATAATTAAGCCACTAGATCACTTTTTTTTTTTTTTTTTGAGAGCATTCATTTCGCAAATATGTGGTGAAAGGACAGAATTTTGTCTATAATGAAGTATACGGTACAATGAGTTTTCGCCAATTACTATACGTCTACACTTATCTTCCTCTGAGCTTGAATCTGTGACATGTTACCTCCTATTCTTATATCAAAGATAATAAATCTAATCCTATTAAAAGTTGTTCCAGATGATACAAAATTTTCTCGACTATCAAAAAGAGAAATAGCAAGACAAATTTAAGCGCATTCAAATTTGAGATGTCTAATTTTGATGGTATAACTGCATAAAATTTAAAAGATAATTGACAGAGATTGAAGATGCTAGTCCAACTACCACAGATGTACGGAAACTTGGGACTGGCCCTCTATAAATGTTGGTCCGATGGTTAAGGTCCATACACGTTAGCATTTGCATTCTACTAGGTCAAGGTGAGCTGATCAGTGGTTTTGTGACTAGCAGAGCTAGAAGGAACTATGGCTAATACAGCAGAAACATTGGAGGCTGAGATAAGGATCAAGTTTGATCCTGATGAGTACTTCCACACCTTTGCTGGCAAAGCACACCAGCTTCCAAGTCTTTGCTCTGATAAAATGCATGGCATTGATGTTCATGAAGGTGATTGGAAGACTACAGGCTCTGTCAAGCTATTGACTTATGCTATAGGTGAGTAACAAAGGCCAACCCTGCACTCGATCTTGAAGTTTCGTTTACTATTATCAAAATCTTTTATTGGATTAGGAAAAGGTGGTAAGGTTTAGGGTGTCATCCTTGCTAAGGGACATTTTTGAATTTTTATTAATTATTTTCTAAGAAAGTCGTGAATACATATGCATCGTTTGACGTATCCTTCGTCTTCATCGATTAAGAAACAATTTTAGTACTGGAAAGGATCCAAAAACTGCTTTTAACCTTGCTGGATTACTTTGTTTAATATCTACTTTGGTGAAAATTTATACAGATGGGAAAGTTGAAACTGTAAAAGAGAGGATTGGAGTGGATGAGGAGAACCGGACAATCACTTACGAAGTTCTTGAAGGGCACATTTTGGAACAATACAAGACCTATAAGGCTAAGTTCCAGGTTATCTCAAAAGGTGACTCAAACTTTGCCAAATGGGGTATTGAATATGAGAACTTCAGTGAGAATGAGCGTCCTCCATTTCATTACCTCCAATGGCTAGTTCATGCTGCAAAAGATGTGGATGCTTCACTTCTCAAAGCGCACGAAAATAAATAATACATCTATATGTACCATATAATTCTTCTATGGGTGATATATTTATCTTCATTGCCATCTTGGTCCGGGGTACCCGGAGTAAAAAAAAAACAAAGAATGAAAGAGAATCTTTAATGTACTCCATTGTCTGGGCTTAGTGAAGCCTCCAAAAATTTGCTCTCCTGTTAGTGCTTGATTGTAATTTGTGTAAGTGTTAGCGATTCTACTCCTGCTAGTGATTGGTTGTAATTTGTATAAGTGTTAGCAATTCTAGTCCTGTTAGTGCTTGGTTGTAATTTGTGTAAGTGTTAGCAATTCTACTCCTGCTAGTGATTGGTTGTAATTTGTATAAGTGTTAGCAATTCTACTCCTGTTAGTGCTTGGTTGTAATTTGTATGTGTTAACGATTCTACGTGTAATGACGAAAAATAAAATGAATGTTTCGTGTGGCTTTATATCTATCTTAACTTTCTTTCTTTTTTTTTTTTTTTTTTGGCTTGATGAAGATATAAATGCTTGGTGCACTGGTTCACGATAATGAACCTTCAAATGCTTGTGTCTATATATGTGTGTGTGTGTGTGTGTATCTGTTTTCCTGCCGGGGAGACCTGAATAAAAGAGAAAGAGAAAGCCAGGAGGAATTGGAGAAAAATCACCATATTCCATGTTAAAGATCCTGAACTTTCATCTTTAAATCAATTCATGGTAAATACAGCAGCCCAACAACATCTTTATTAACTAGTTTAGTAAGCCTTTACTAAGTGATGTTTGATTACTTCATTTAACGACTTGCTTCCCATTGCAATTCCCAAATCGTATTGCCTTTGAATAAACTTTTTTTTGGAGCTCAATCTCCAAGTTTAGGATTAGTCAAGGAAGTGGTTGGAATGGTGACTTGGAAATTGAATTTTGTGGGGGCATACTGTTGACTTTATTAGTCTTTTCATCAAGGGTTAAATGCAAAAAACCCCCACAAATTATATATCAAGTTGCATTTTACCCCCTAAACTATAATAATAATCATTTTGCCTCCCTGAATGATATGTTTGGACAATACTATCCCTACTATCTGAAATCCTTTTTTTTTTTTTTTTTTTCTTTTTTTTTTTTTCCTTTTTTTTTCTTTATTTTCTCCTTCTTTCGTGGAACTAGCCAATGTCTCTCTCCGATGTGAAAGGACTTACATAAAAAATTTTAATATTCTTTAAACTGCTTTTTTAATTTGTTTATTTGTTAAATTCATTCTTAATAATTTGTCATAAACTCTTTGTTATTACAAAATATATGTAGCTTATATTGTAAAGTGTATTAATCTAGTAATTCAACAATTTAAGTGCCTATAAACTAATTAAGAGTTCACAGTTACTCAACTACTTATAATAAAAGTAACATATTATATATCACATAAAAAAGAAAAGTTAGCAATTGTTATTTGTAGTGAAATAAAAAATAAGAATAAACAACAATAGTAGTTCATTTTTTTTGTTATTGATACTACTACTAATTGATTAATCAATTTCTCTATTTTGTTATTATATATTTGAAAAGTTCAATTTCCTAAATGACATTGACTTCAACATTTGGAAAAAAAATCTTGTATTCCATAAATTTTTTTTTTATAAAATATTGACATATGAAATTAAGAAATAAACAAATTTTGACTAATCTAGTCTACTTATTTAAACAATGTTTAAAGAAAAAAAAAGGAAGAATTTAAAAAGAAAAAGATAGGGAAAAAAGAAAAATAACAATGTTTAAAATAAAAGGGATAGATTTGTCCAAACATATCATTCAAGGAGGCAAAATGCCTATTATTATAGTTTATGGGGTAAACTGCAACTAGGTGTATAATTGGCGGGGGGTATTTTGCATTTAACCCTTTCATCAATGCTGAGTCGTTTTCAAACGCATGTTGTTTGCTTAATGTTGTCCATCTTTCTCCAGATAGGTTAATTCCATATTCCTAACTAAATTCATTGCAGCTCTTTTAAACGCAATTTTATTATTATTTTTTTCGAGTTTTTCGAGTTAAATTCAGTTTGTCGTCTTCTCCTCAAGTGAAGACGTCAAGAATTTTGATCCATTAATACCCAACTACATCTAATCCTGCGCATTTTGGCTATGGGAGCACTGATTATATGATTATATCTGACATGTTTTCTCTGTTGTCTTTTTCGCCAAATAATGGTCTCTTGGTACAATTGGAATAAACGAGGGAATACGATTTTGTTTGGATGACTTGACTACAAAGAAAGGACTAGGGGTGTTTCGCGAATCGAGCGAATACGAGCTCGACTCGAGCTCATCAATATCGAGTTCGAGTCGAGCTTGAACTAATTAAATCGATCTCGAGCTCGAATTCGAGTTCAAAAACATTAAACTCGTTGACTCGCGAGTCTCAATTATATATTTATTTTTTATTTTTTATTTTAATAGTAAAATTACATATATATTCCTAATATTTTATTATTTGTTAAAATATTATTGTTTTATTCATTTTTTAAAATAAATAATTATTTTTTATTTTTTAAAAATAAAATAAAATAATAATAATAATAATTTTTTATTTTTTAAGCTCGAGCTCGAGCTTGATAAAATAATAATAATAATTTTTTAAAAAATTATTTTTTAATAATAATAATAATAATAATTTTTTATTTTTTAAAAATAAAATAATAATAATTATTTTTTTATTTTTTAAGCTCGAGCTCGACTCGAGCTTGATATTTTGAGCTCGTCGAGCTCGAGTTCGAACTCGAGTTCGAGTTTCATAAAATTCGAGCTTCATAAAATTAACTCGAATTCGGCTCGTTTACACCCCTAGATGGGACCAAGAAATTCTTAATTAACTCGAAGAACTAGTTCATAACTCTAGGTTTAGTGTTACTATCATCGCTATGATTATTAGGGTTTCTGTTTTTCCTCATGGGGTATCATTATCGCAGCATGCTTCCTTTATATAACAGTGGTTCATTGCATAACATTTATCACTGCTGATTTAACTATCTTGCTGGCATCGATCTCAGGGAGCTGAAACTATTCTTTACAGTAGTCAATGCACCTTTTGAAAAACCGAGGTGCATTTCTAAAACTGAAAATGTTCTGTACTTTGTAGCTTCTGTTTTGAAATCTAAAAGCAGCAAGGAATGATCCGTGCAGTCCAAAAATTTGTTGCCAAAAAAAAAAAAAGAAGCTTTAACACAAAGCACAGGAATCTATAATGTAACCATTTGTTTTGCATATTCGCATTAATAACTTATTAACGAAGCCTGTATTATAACATATCAAGCAAACAAATCTTTCTAACCCACTCGTCTTAGGTGATGGCCATAAAGCAAAGCATGAAATCTAGTTCTGGTTGCAGTTGGGTTTTCTTGGATTAATATGACATTTTATCTGCCCCTTAATTTTAATCTGGGACATGTTGCCTCTCGATATTGCATCAAAAGACATAGATAATTAACCTAATCCTGGTAATAGTCTAACAACAGAAATTTTGTCTTGACTATGATAAAGAAGAATAGCAAGGCAAATTTCCTGACCTAATCCAAAAATAATGTAGCCAGGTTTTTTTTTTCTTTTTAAATTAAATTTCAAAACTTTGCTACTTAAGCCCAATTAGTATATTGAAATTTAAGCATAGGTATGAGCGGTATAACTACATAAACCTAAAACAGAATTGATAAAAAGCAAAGATATTAGTACAAACCATCACAAATGTACGGAAAAATGGAACTGATCCTATATAAGCGGTGGTCCGATGGTTAAAGTACATATACGTTAGCATTTGCATTCTACTAGGTGAAGGTGAGCTGAAAATCAGTAGCTTTTTGACTAGTAGAGCTAGAAAAAACTATGGCTAATACAGCAGAAAAGTTGGAGGCTGAGATAAAGATCCAAGTCTGATCCTGATGAGTTCTTCAATAGCTTTGGTTGTAAAGCAGACCAACTTCCAAATCTGTGTTCCGAGAAAGTCCATGGCATTGATGTTCATCAAGGTGATTGGAAGAATGCCGGCTCTGTCAGGCTATGTACTTGAGCATTAGGTGAATAACAAAGGCCAATCCTATACTCGATGTTGAAGGTTCAATTACTATGATTTTGCGATAGGGATGTATGCGAATCGAGCAACTCGGGTGCACATATGAAGCTGCTTGATCAATGGATTGTCTTGTTTCGACTTTGATCGTGTTTGAATCAATTTCAAACATGTTCGATTGTTGTAACGACTCGAGTGCAAGTAGGAATATAGTGTGCTATCGAGCGCTAGTGTAAATATTAAAGACTTAAAACACATAAGTGTTCAGAACTTATTGAGAAATTTCTACCCTTAACTTTTGTAGTACAGCTAGTTTCTTGGGCATTGCAGTCAATTTGATCCCGTTAAAAATTTTAAAAATAAAACTCCTAAAAGAATAAACCCTTTTTTTGAAGGATAAAGAACTAAACCCTTTTTTTGAAGGATAAAAGAACTAAACCGTAAGTCTACACTCTCAGACTCTCAAACCTCAGTCTCTATCATTCTCAGTTAAAAACCACTACTACCGCCCCTTCTCCAACAACCAAATTAGGAGTCTGCAACCAGAGTACTTCTTCTCCCTTTCTTTTTCGCTATTCTGTGTGATCATTATATGATTGAGTTAAGCTTTTGAGACTATTCAGTTTGATTAGTGCTTACAGGTTGAATATTTTGAAAATAAAGGGAGCAAAGTTTGTCTATTCTTTTTTTTTTCTTTTTTTCTTGTCTCAATATACTTTTACTTTGATAGTTTAGGATGTGAAACAATTGGGCATATGGTCCGTTTCATAATAGGTACTCTTGAATTTAGGCTGATTAGGTCATTTGAGGGCCATGACATCTTTTACCCAGAACGGTATGTGTTTAGCTGAATTTTTGGTCGTCTTATATATGGTGTCTTTGAAATAGTAGTAGTTGATTAGAAGTCATTAACAAGGGATTTAGTGGCCAGCCATGAACATGGTTTAATTTTCCCGTCTTCCTTCCACAAGTGGAATTTGTATGATCTGCAATAGCTTGAGCAGAGATACATCATGAATGGAACATTGTTGAAAGAATTATTAACCATCATTGTCAGTTATTTATTCTACGAAACCAAGTGTACCTACAAATTCAATTGATTAGAGGCTTTCCCCTACGTTTTTAGCCTCGAAAATTGAGTTGAACGACAAATTTCTTCTTTGAGTTGAAGAGGAAAGATTGAAGTGCCTTAAGTCGGTTGGTTGATTCAGCCTATGAGAAAGGTTTTTAGGTGCTTATAAAACTCAGATTTTTCATAAGCCCATGAATGCCCTGCTCCATCAAGGATTATCAGCTCAGCATTCTCTCTCAAATGTCTGCACAAATAATGTCCATACAGTTTTGTCATTGCAAATTTCAGGCGTTCTTTCACTCCTTTATACTAATGTTTTCCTAAACGCACTGGAAGTTAATCATATTGCA